TTTATTTTTATTAAACCTAATTTATATGGTTGTCAAATACGTTTAAAATCACACAACAAACACTGCTGGGGTAAGAAAGAGGACACAATGGCGTTATTATTCTTCAATATAATTTCTAAAAACAAATAACTACACTTCGTTTGTCTTTATTTTCCATTAAAGCATTCCATATACTTAACTTTCTAATTTGTGCACTATTCACAAGATGTGAAACTTTAAAGAAATTAAATGACTAACGCCGTGTTATGTATTTTTACTGAAAAATGTATGGCGTCCCTTTCACGTGAAATATAAATTACTCCTAACAGTTGGAGAGTACAGTACAAGCGAGTCATATTTGTATATCTCTGCCACAATAGAATACCAACGTTATTATAAAGAAGAAAATAAAATAAGATTAAATAAATAACCATGGGAAAACAGGTTGAAAATAGCTAATTGAAGGCGAGTATCTTTTTTATGTCAATTTAGCATGGAAATTTTTATTCAAAGACACCGTAAATTTTTTGGTTGCATTTTAATCGATACAAGATATGCTATTTTACCTTTATTTATATGCATTTGTGTGAAAATTGAGAGCGAGAAGTCATATGAACAGGATTTTCTTTGTTGTTTTTTTTTTTTAAGGGGGGGGGATAAATAAAAGTAAAATGTGTACATCTTTTCATGAGCTTATAATACATTGAATTTCTCAATATAGATCGAGGTACAATCATACTGAAATATGAATTACATAGTCAAGTTTTCACATTTCTTATAGTTTTAGGTTTATGAACATGTTAATGAACAAACTGAAATAATGGAGTGTTCAATTGCCTTGGAAACTCCTGTCTTACATTTTGGGAATATAATTCCTCATCAGACATTAAAATTTCATAAAATTGTAGCCACTTCCTCTCTTTATTATACTATTTGATAGACAGGGTAAATTTTACCTCTTTACCTTCTATATTTTTTTTTATATCGCTTTCTTGTACCTCATTATAACATGCTAATACAACGCACTATCTGATTGGTTCTAGACAATGTCACAGTTTTCTTTTAGTTATTTTATCTATGATACTTATTACTCATGGCAATAACTTTTCCTAATACTCATCTATAATGAAAAAATGTGTTAAAAAATAAACATGAATTCTAGTTACTTGTAGTCTCATATTGTGTTATAAAATAACAGGTTGCATTTTGTTTACCTATATGATATTTATTTGATGAATAAATCTTCCCTACAATTAACAAGAGGCCCATGGGCCTTATAGGTCACCTGAGCATTATGCAACAACTTTCCAGTGATTGAATTTGATCCATGTTTTAAGCCAGATGCTATAGCATTTACAATTTTGATCATCATAACTATTCACTTAGCAGTTGCTTAGTTTGGTTACTTAATACCCATAGGCAGGGTAGGGGAACAAAAATGCATTTCAACAAATCAGTAATATTCAGCAATAATCAGTAGTGCCGCTACCACACATGAACCCTTGACTCTTAGGCCTAGATCCACACATTGCACAATTTTTGAAAAGGCATCCTTGCTTTTCAAAAGTATTTGATTAATACCAAGGAGCAGATTTCAAACAATTCATTATTTTTCAGTATATAAGTACAGCCCCCCCCCCTCTATGGTACTGTAACTGACCCTGGGGCCTTGAAATTCACAATTCTGGAAGATTAGGGCCCTTGCTCATAACTATATAGGTAGTTCATATGCTTAATACCCAGGAGCAGAGAAGAAAATATTCAAAGATTTAATGTTTTTTTCACTATATAATCAATAGAGCCCCGCCCTAACACCAGAACCCGTGACCCTGGGGCCACAAATTCACAATTTTGGTAGAGGCATTCTTGTTCATCATAACTATGTATTTAGTTAGTTTATTTAATACTTTGGAGCAGAGAAGAAGATTTTCAAAGAATTCGTGTATTTTCACTATATAATCAAAAGAGCCCCGCCCTAACACCAGAACCCATGACCCTGGGGCCATAAAATTCACAATTTTAGTAAAGGCACTCTTGCTCATCACATCTATGTACTTTGTTAGTTTATATAATACCTACGAGCAGAGAAGAAGATTTTCAAAGAATTCGTGTATTTTCACTATATAATCAAAAGAGCCCCGCCCTAACACCAGAACCCATGACCCTGGGGCCATAAAATTCAGAATTTTAGTAAAGGCACTCTTGCTCATCACATCTATGTACTTAGTTAGTTTATATATAATACCCAGGAGCAGAGAAGAAGATTTTCAAAGAAATAATGCATTTTCACTATATAATCAATAGAGCCCCACCCTAACACCATAACCCCTGACCCTGGGGCAATAAAATTCACAATTTTGGTAGAGGCACTCTTGCTCATCATAACTATGCACTTAGTTAATTTATTTAATACCTAAGAGCAGAGAAGAAGATTCTGCTCATCATAACTATGTACTTAGTTAGTTTATTTAATACCCAAGAGCAGAGAAGAAGATTTTCAAAGAAATAATGCATTTTCACTATATACTTATTTTGCCCCGCCCTAGCACAAGAACCCCTGACCCCAGGGCCATGAATTTCACAATTTTGGTAGAGGACTCAATGCTGATTACAATCATGCAAACAGTTTGACTGTTTGATGTCCAGGAATAAAGAAGAAGATTTTTAAAGATTTCATTAATTTAAATGGTTTTGGCCCCACCCCCCAGGCCCCAGGGGGGCAGGGATCATGAAATTCACAACTTTTATTCCCCTTCACCCATAGATGCTTTGTGCCAAATTTGGTTGAAATTGGTTCAGTGGTTGCAGAGAAGAAGCTGAAAATGTTCAAAAGTTTACGACCGATTGACGACGAATGACGAACGACGTACGACGACGGACGAAAACAGATAGCAATAGGTCACCTGAGTGACTCAGGTGACCTAAAAATACATAACCGAGTTTAACCGACCGTGAAGTTTAAAGAGAGGTCTCTTGGACACATGTAGAACACAGTCGAGGTTGTTTTGGCAGAGGTGGTCAAGAAGCCTTTGCCCCTCCCCCCCCCCCCCTTGAAGTCGCCAAGAAATGGTAAAATATTGATGACTTAGCGAAATTAAATGTTCTCTCATAAGCTGTATTCCTGAAACTATCACTGTCTCTGCTAAAATGTTGAAGACATATTCTGCAAATATGTATGAGTGATAAAAAAAAAAGATTTTCAAAAAAAAAAAGAGAAAGAGGGTTTTTTTAGCCGAAATTTTAGACATTTTTATCATTACATTATTTATACATTCATAAATAAATTTGATTTTATGCACAAAATGAATGTGAAAGTAATTAATGACGCATAATTAGATACGATAGACAATCCCTTGTTTATACATGGCATCATATCTTGTGTGTGAAATGTGTTTCCGTATAATTTGATTTATTTACAAATTGTTCATGTTTGTGGTGTTGATGTGGAATTATTATATATTCCCGAATTCTGATACTTTACAGTTCTGTTGTGTTGGGAATGAACATTAGGAAGATGCATGTACTTTCAACATTATGAAAAATATAAAGCAAATCGGACAACTTTTCGTGTGCAGATCATGAAATGTACTTAGCTCCATGGGTATTTGTTGTCCTGAGCGCATTTATAATCTTGACGCCCACATTCTTACTTCGCTAGTGATACCTTTAGAAAACATGTGTATCTAAATGAAAGTTAACTCGGCAACATGCGCCATCCCATTGTTTAAGTTTTATTAGTTGATTACACCTCCTATACCCGATTTCGCGGATTCAACAATACCCAAATATCGGGTATTATACGCGATTTCACAGAAAATACCCGATTTCGAGTATTCTCTCCGACCTGTAAAATTGAGAGGGTGGGTGGGATGAGGTTAATTCTCACTGTGAAATTTAACCTTAAATAAATTCAGAGTGAAATAGACAAGTTATAATTAAATATTTATAATTTTCCTTTGTAAACGGTATCGATTTACAGTGGACGCTTTGGTTCCCAGTCAATTTGTCCAGATATGTGAAGCATCTGGATATCTGAATCACAAGTTAAACAAGACAAAATAACATTTAAAAATTTCGTTCCGTTGAAAAATTGTCCGGATACTGAAGCATCCGGATATCTGGCGTCCGGATATCTGAAGGTCCACTGTATACAATTACATGCATTTTTTTTCTTCATATTTAAATTATACAACATACACTGTATCAAAAAATTTCTTAAATTTAAAATGCACTTTCAATGCATATCTATTTTTCCAGAAACAATTCATTATGGTTACTCAAGTTCAATGATCATTTGAAAATAATTTCCCAACCGAATCTACGTATGAGCTATCTAAATATTTTCCCAACCAAATCTACGTATGAGCTATCTAGAGATCTCTAATCCTTGACAGAGGAAATTCGAATTAAAATAAAAACGATCATGACAGGGTTGTAATTAGGGCTGTATCAATATATCGATATATCGATACGTATCGATATTCTAGAAAAATATCGTATCGAAAAATTACTTCCAATACGTATCGGACAAGCACTTTTTCTTCTAATTATGCTAAAAAGATGGGAATTTTAATCAGCAAAGATTATATTTCACCTTTTTGAATTAAAACTGATCAATGATTATAGATTTATAAAAGAAATAACACAGTTTTTATAGTTATTATAAAATACATAACAATTTTATTTTAACATGTTGATTTTACAGCCGTTAAAAGTTTCGATTGGAAGTGTTTTTTTTACTGACTATGGGATAAGAACTTTGAACTGGGTAATAAAACATTAATTTTTTATGAAATCCATGCATTAAATGATTTATAAGCCTTTTTTGATGGACTTATTTTAGAATCCAATATATCGCATATCGTTTTAAAAAATATTGTATCGTATTCAATTGTATCGAAATTTTTTGCTCAATACACAGCCCTAGTTGTAATACATAAAAATTAATCAGGTATTACTGCTAAATTGGTCAAATAAAGGACATTTGTGGGGAATTTGACCATGTGTACCTCTTAATTTGTGACAGCGTCTGGCAAAATGGGTCCAGATGAGGAAAAATCAATTTTTCACTTTTTTGTATTTTCTTGTATATATTGATGTCTAAAACTCAATTCCAAAATATTTTTGAAAAATTCCAACCCTTTATGAAATTATGATGTTTAAAAGATATAACCCTGATGACGTCCTGTAAAATAAAACTAATGAAAATGTACCCCAAAAAAAGTGACATTTTAGGTAGACAACTTTTATCGAAATTTTGTTGTCTTCTAATACATCAGTACTTTATCACATTAAAATATTGATGCACACATGACTTTTTCTTTTTCAATACATAAAAAAAATCCTTGTTGCCGTAGAAGTCATTTTAATTGAAAATGTACATAGTTATCAGTGTGCACTTTCATTTCACGACGTAACGAAAAGAATTTGTTATAGGGTTTAATAATTTTATTTGTATGCCATTTTTGATATACATGTATCTTTATTTTTTATTAAAGTAAAATATTATGCTGGATAAAAAATAAATATATATATATTATACATCTTTTGTGACAAATTATTTTAGATTTCATTTCATGCAAAGGTTTAAATCTCCTTCAACATTGCAAAAGCAATCAAGGCACTTGAAGATTTGAAGATACACAAGGTTCGAAATGTTCAAAATATTACACATTATAGGTCAGCAAACAAATTATTTTAGCAAAGACTGTTTCCTTTTTGTGGAAATGGGCCTGCTGTTCTCTTTGTTTGTTAAATTAATTTCAGGCTTTGGCTGGATTGGTTTAGGGCAAACAACATCTTTAGCAACATCTGAGTTACAAAATTCTCTAATGTTGTCATACAAATACCACTGTCTGATCAGATCTAATCCTCGACTTGGAATAGCTTCAGGAAGTTGACCACTCACTAGATGCATGTTATTTTTCAATAAATTGACAGAAATCGAGTGTCCCGAGATCCTCTCTTGAACTTCCACTCTTCCAGGCTTGTCTGAATGAACTAAAAATGATGGTATTTTGTCAAGTTCTTCAATGGCTTAAAAAACTGCTGCAGGTATGTTTTCCAGTCATCGAATACAACAGGCTTTTCTGCATCATCTGTGAGCTGTGGAATATTGTGTCCATTCTTACTAGAGTGTGCAACAGTCTCAGCTACCTGAATTCAAATATAGGTATTATTATATATCAGTGGTAAACAAAGATATATCATCATTCATGCAATATAGAAGTTTCATTATTAGATTAAAGGTGAGTATTTCAAAATGTTTGTCAAATTTGACACTATATAAGCACATATATCATGTATTTTTTCTTATTTCTGTGAAAAAAATGTTTAATTGTTTATGACAGAAATTCATTTCAGTTGAGATATTGTTTGCCTGGATATTTGGACTGACAGCTTTAGTCCATATAATGTCAACTGAGATTAACCAACAGACATTATGAGGAATTAGAAATTTTTTCAACATATGATATTTTACATAACAGCTTACTTCAGATAAAGTCTCCACATTAGAATTCCTCCATTTCAGTTTCCACACCCCAAAGTGCCAATCAGGCTCAAACTTTGTATGACCCGCAATCATCATGGAATATTGGATGCTTTTGTGTAACCCTGAAAAAAGTTTTTAAAAATATGAAATCAACCTACATGATGTACCCCCTATACTTTGTCAAATGTAATTTAGCCTGATACAGAAAAACAAAGGATTGTTGGGCCACATACTGTAGGAAGAGTGTTTATTTACCTGTCATGACTCTCCACAATGCAAACATCAGAACTGTGTTATTTTTGTTCTGTCCACTGCAATTGTCAAAGTGAAACAGTCCATCCTCTTCACCAAGGCCATGGTAGGTTAAATAATGATGAACCATGCTGACCACACTGTTTGCTCCTTTGCCCACCATGTCTGCCTCATCAATCAGATAAAATACCTGCCTTCCTGCATATGAAAAAAAACACTTTAAGAACAGTATTTATATAAATTAAAGCATTTTGAAATTATATGATTTACAAACATCACAACATATGTAGTTATATTAATATTATCTTGCATATATGTGCTATAAAGTGTATTTAAAACAATAGATAATCTGGTTTATTTCTTTTTAAACAATTTACCTGATCCTTCAGAGCACATGCCAAATACATTGCATTTGCGTGGTGTCCTAAAATATTCTGGTCCAACTTGCTGAGCATGATGAGGTATATGTACCTGCTGAGCATAGTCCCAAGAATAATGGAATGCCCCTTTTACTGACAATGGTGGGTTACCTAAGTTGAAAAAAAAATGTTTACAATGCTAGTTAAAATAAATGTTAAATTTACTTATGAAAATCAAAATACAATTATTGTGTTTTAATATTGCATAAATTCTACACATGGAAAATTGCTTCGATTTAATAAAATGGTATTTTATAATCATAAATGTTTTGCAATAACTATTTTTCTTTGTGCATTTTTTTTTCAATGAAGTTAATGAGAGCACTTGTAAATAAAAATATACACACCACTTCCTTTGAACTGTTCAGCTAGTGAAGAGTATTTCTGTTTGCTGTTAACACACTGCATACTGTAGTGATCCCTTTGCTCTTTTGCCAGCTGAACATAGTTGTTGTAGGAATCAAGTTACAAAGATTTTTCTTCTTCTGTCAAAGTACCACTCTTTGAAATTTGGTTGGCAAAGTCCTGACACTTTTGGCAAAGATCTGTACATGGTTTTGTTATGACAATATGGGGACATAACTCTACCCACACTCTCTGAAAGGATCTTAGACTTATCGTCTTATGATGCAATTCCTCTGCAACTTTAACATATATTTTGAATATGTCTTCTTTTGTCTTATCCGAAGGCAGCAGTAAAACTCTAACATCTCTAAAGTTGGGTAGCCTTCCTGGTAAAGGAAGGGCATTATCTCTTGCATACTGACACAAAAATACTTTCTTTCTCTGTCTGTGTATGTCAAACTGTGAGAAGGAGCTTTACCTACTCTTCCAAGAACTCGTGGAGTCAACCCGTCTGTATCGAGAGATTTGGCAATGGCCAACATTTTCTTTTTTTCAATGCAATGCAAAAAACAAAATGTTTTTCTGCATACACGTTTACCACGGAAATAAAATTCCTGAAAAGGTCGTTCCCTTTCTTTGACTTTGTGTTTAATTGCTTCAGTGTGTGTACCAGATCTACGATGCGCAAGTAATTGAGATTTCACAACGATGTCCAACTCTTCCCTTGAAAGTTCCTTACATGATTCCCTATATTCCACGAGAGAGTCAAAGTCTATTGTTGTACTACAGGGTTGTCCATAAAACTCTTTACAGCCACATGTTTCATTTCTAAACGGTGCTTGCTTGATGTACTCAATGGTATCCACTTCCGATGGTTCAATGTTTATAACTGATTCTGATTCATCTGATTCTGAACTTGCATCAGAGTCATAGTTTATAGTTACATTTTCACTGTCAATATCATCCTCGGATTTGTAATTAAATGACTCGTCTGGTGCATCATAATACAAAACATCAACCATATGAAGTTCGTTGATGAAATCTTCATCTTGATAGTCCGTTAATTCCGAGGGAATAGAACTACATTGACTGTCTTGACTCATTGCATTGTTTATATTTCTCGCTCACGATAAACTTTCTACTGGTTACTTCCATTACTATGGATGACGCAACAGTTTATTAATAGACTCTAGCTTAGATACGTGTGGAGTGGATCTAACATTTTTTATTTGACACCACATTCATTGTACAACTAGCGTACAGATAAGTTAATATATTCAAAGGTACATTTATCCTACAGATTCAGAATTAGAACAGTGGACTTTTCCGTTTAATTTCGATCGTCAGGTACTCGTGGTTTGTTGAATAATTAATATCCGTTTTAATTTAACGATTATGTCGATATGTTTTTAAATTAACTCGGATGTATATACATAATTGAAGATGTGGAAATAGTAGATTTAATTTTGAAAACAGCAGTTTACCTGAAATAAGACACATCAGATATAATGTAATGAACCGACAAACAAAAACAGGAAAAGCACGTGTGCACGGTGTGGGAAAAAAAAAAACAACTCCGCAAAACTCGCTGTGTTTTGTGACGTTTTTTCTCTGTTTTGTCATTGCCGCATCTGGTCCCATTTTGCCAGACGTTGTCACATTTAGATTTATTTGGCCTTATTTTTTATCGGACATTTGGTCCTGTAGACTAAAATTTTTTACCGACCCGACCTAAATTTTACCGGTAAAAACCGACGGTCCGGTGACTTTCGCATAGACTGTGACACCTGGTCAAGTTATATATAACAATCTCCAGCTATGTGTGATTTTGCTTTGAAAAGAAAAACCAACAACATAGTAGACAGACTTTAGTGAAGGCCTAGATTTTTCAGTAGAATAATTATTAAAACGTTTATATAGATTTTGCAAAGTACGAGGGGCATTTCAAAAGTCCTGAGAACAGGTTGATAAAAAATTAAGCGCTGTACGGAAATTATTGAGTTTGACATCATTGGAAAGATCGGAAAAATATACACATATTGTGACGTCACTTTATATTTTTCATGACGTAATATCTCAAAAAATGACGTCAGAATATAGAATGTTAAGCATACGGAAAATTCGCGTTTTTATCCACATGACACGACTTTAAAAGTGCTGCCAAAAGCTTATTTGAAAAAAATATTTCACAGAAAATTTTCATTTGCAAAGAAGTAGACTAGGACTATGGTATTGTTTATCAACAATTCTATATTTCATTGTTTGGTTTGTTTACTAGCACGGTTTATGTCCGGTTATGCTATCATCAACATTCATTTAAGAACTTAAGTTACATGATACGACTTGATTTTCGGTCTTTTATATAGCTCTCCATTGTATGAAATAAAACATTTTCTGTATAAAACTGAAGTATATCAATGCAGTTTTCAACAAATATATTTTGAGTAACAGTGCTCTTAGCGTTCACAAATAAAATGTACAAAAGTCTTGCCCCTGACATGTTTCTGTGCGTATTTTTTCTTATTAATTCAACTTTGGCACCCCCAAAACTCACTAATGCTTTTGACTTTTGACTCCAATAAAGGTTTATAAGTTAAATTACACAGACATGTAGAATCTTATTTAATTTCCATGAATTAAATTTTGCGATTATGTGGAGGCACGGTGGGGTTACAACTGCGCCCGTGCCATTTTGGATTTTTACGAGAAAATATGGGGCACACGAAACTTAACTTCTCTTGAACCTTCATCGATCCCGCAAATCTGGTTAAAACACCTGACGAATTGATGCTATCAAATTTTGTAACATGATCGTCTATTTTTCTTTGATTGCGAACTTTGCATTTTTCTCATAGTTAGGCCTGGTTTACGCAATATTTTGAGCAAGATTCCATAAAAACATGCGATGTTTAACAATCGCTTGAACCATTTCAGAACAAGAAAATCTCCGAAATAGAACACCATATGATAGATTGTAGTCTATGTAAAGATTCTACCAACTGAAATTTGCGTCCGATAGCTTGCGCCCAAGTTATAAGCAAAAGTTGTTTTTAAAATTTTACTTTGATGAAATTGAGTCTTTTGTTACGTCATTTTTATGGCCAGTATTGTAAGCATGCAGAAGTATGACATCATTTTCGGAGTTATTACAACATAAAAATTATAAAGTGACGTCAAAATATGTGTATATTTTTCTGATCTTTCCAATGATATCAAATTCAATAATTTCTATAAAGCGGTCAATTTTTTATTAAACTGTTCTCAGGATTTTCGAAATGCCCCTCATAAGAAGTCATGCATACACAATTTATTGATATCCCCACCTCATTTTGTTCAGGGTGTGCCGTATAATGTGTACTTGATAATTTGTTAACTAACAATAAATATTTACATTTTTAAAGCAAAAATTTTTTTTAAATATTTAAAAGAATATGAAAAGAATTAAATCTATTCATATTTGCATTAACATAATGAAAAAAAATGTGTACGAGGCGTCCATGTTTTGTTGATACTTGATTATAATATAACAATTATAAAAAATAAAAAATAAAATCCGCCCACCCGCCCCAATTTTTTAGCAAATTAGGATGAGAATCTAAAGATTAATTTTACCTGGCCATATCCAAAAAAAATTTTATACTGGTGTAGAGAGGGTCCTTAACCAATGAGCAATTCTGCAATCAATTACCATCCCTAATAAAAATAATGTAAAAACTGCTTCAAATGCATAATTCTGATGCTGAGAGTTCCGAAATACTTGCTACTTATAAGATACTTATGAATTTTAAATATCAGGGAAACTATTTTACATTATTCAGTACAATAAAGAATGAAGATACCCGAGAAGGAGTTATTGCCCTTGTTAACATTTTTTTAAGATTGAATAATAGCGAGCGCAGCGAGCGTCGCGAAGCGATGCTCGCAAAGCGAGCTCAATAGACTAACGTGTAAGAACAGAGGAAATTCGGATTGAAATCTGTACATACGTCAGCCAAATTTCTCTGTGAAACATTCCCAGAATTCCTGCACTACCCAATGTCCTTTGCGCAAATAAATAAATAATAACGTAAAGCATAAAAGGCTAGATCAGTTTGTAGAAATCTTTCAAAGAAACAAAAAATAACTCTACAATGTTTTCAACCAAAATTGCATTAGGTATATAGTTTCAAACAGACGCTCGGCTGTCTCCGTAAGCACCGACGAGCTCAGTGACGTCGTGTGACGTCACAGCTAGTGGAGATGTCTCGCGCGGCTTGATGTTTGAAGTGGCTGATTAGAGTGTTTTTATGGTACAACTGCGCTCGCCCCAACGGTCACACCGTAAAACATATTATTGATTAAATAAAGAAAATATATACTCGATTCCCATTATATCACGGGTTTCATTGTATCGCGGTATATCGCAAAAATGTGGATACATAGCCTATATTCTTTTTGTTGATAGACAATATGAATGTTGTCTGAATGTTTAATTTTTTGATGATTAAGAAGTACGGAACATCCGTTTGAAAAAAAAATAAAAAGAAATTTTCAGATTTCCAGTCCGGTTTTAATTATATTTAGATCATTAAAATTATAACTTCGTTAAAATTATAATAAAGTTCATCTTTTTAAGTCTTTAGTTTATACAATCGTTCACTTTTTCATGTAGAATTACATCGTAAATTCAGAAATAAAAATTGAGGTCTGTGTCATTTACAAGTTTCCATGTATTCCCATACCGCGATACAATGAGACTCTCCAATTTAGGAGGTAAACAAGACTTCCTGTTTTAAAAATTGACCACAAATTAAACGATGCAAGCTTGGAAAATAATTTTACACTGAAAAGTTAGGCCAAAGTTAGAATTATAATTATTAAGTTAAAATAAAAATTAGAAATGACACGTTTTATGCAAAAGAATTAAGTACCGCGATATAATGAGACACCTGTATACATTTTTAAAATTCTTTTACTTAACAATATTTATCATCACACCTATTGAAAAGTATTCTTCCAGAAGACATTGTTCTACTGGATATAAATTTAAATAAATAACAGTTTTTGCAAAAACCTATTACATCATACGAGGATGGAATTAGGGGCCTACCTTAAAAAAGTTACAAAGAGTACAAAAAATGCTGGAAATGAACATTTAGAACCATTTAAAACAAAATTTTCTCGGAGGAGGCCCTCGAAACCCCACCTGTGGGAGGGGAGACCCCCTCCCATGCTCTCCCCCTTTGGCCCTTTGGGCCTCAAACCCCTTCACCCCCCCCCCCCCACATGAATTTCTGGATCCGCCACTGTTTATTCATGCGCATACAATATATTTACTTTAACTTCCAGTGCCCGTGAGTTCTTGTACAGTACCAGACCTGTTGATCACGGACAGCTGGACAGACAGATAAAATTAAAAGGACAGCACCATATCCATGATATGCCATCCCATACAAAGAATTTACCCACCTCTTACATAAAAATGAGCAAATTTTTGGAGTGTAGAAGAAGTGGTTAGAGCATGTCTGTCCAACGATGTTCATCCTTGCAAACATCATCAACGTATACATGCAACTTATTTTTTCAAAGTGGGGGTAAAACTAGATCATGCAAATCTAGCCTATTTGCTTTTATAAATTCTAGGTCACTATTTCATGAAGTAACAAATTTTTTGTTGTTGCTCATTCACTATTTAGTCATTATCAACGATGTATCACCTGTGGACTGTACTTTCAATAACAGCTTCATGGTAAACCTTGCTAGGGGGGTAAAATGGACAGGAGAGTGTGAATAAATAGGTAGTAAAATCCGGGCCGGTGTACCATTGAAAATTGTCGCTAGTGCTCGGGTAACACGACGGAATGCCCTGTAATCACCGAAATGCCCCTACAAATCACCGGAATGCCCATTGAAATCACCGAAATGCCCCTTCATATGATTCAAAATGATGATTTTCATAAAAATCAATGCTTATATTTTTTATATATGCATAACTTCTAGCAAAATTAAATATTTTCAAGTATTTACTTATAATTTTTTATACAATTGATATTCAAATAATTTATTAAACAGATAAAAATTTGCATCGTTTTCTGTTTTTATACAGAGCACATTCATGTTTCAATTACGAGAGTTATCTTTCTTTGATGCTAATATTTATATCTTTTAATAAAAAATCTGTGTGTAAAAATATGATTTTTTTAAATGTAGATATACCTTATAACAACCGATAGAATAAATATTTATTAAATTTTTATAGTTTTATATCAAAATAAGGGGCATTTCGGTGGCATTCCGGTGATTTGTAGGGGCATTTCGGTGATTACGGGGCATTCCGGTGATTCGTAGTACCGCTAGTGCTCAGGGTGGTCGCTGTACTGTTAAAGAGTGCATTTATTGGGTATTTTTCATGCCAAGATTGTACTTATTGGGTACTTTTTGCTTATTGGGTATACCCAATAAGAAGTGTCGCTGAATATGCTTAAAACACCCTAATTGGGTATTTGCAGGTTAGTACCCAACAAAACTTGGACACGACGATTTGTCCAAAAAAGTGTCCAAAAAAGTTGCTTTCACGGACGCACCGTGTTTTGTTGTTTCAGTTTTACATTCGGAACTCTAAATTCTTGAGAGTTCCGAAAATCAACTTCCGTTGATCCTGATCATGACAACGTTTGTTTTCATGGAAAAAAAATATGGCGATTAAGAAACACTTAATGTCAACAAGATTTTCTGATTGACAAGAGAAAAGGTAAGTTTATTCGATTAATATTTATCTATTGCTGGGTTCTTGTTTAAGGAAAATAGATTTTAATGTAATTTTGAAAACAATTGTGCACAAAATTAAAATAGATATATCGGAACAATTAATCCTAAGTTGCACTTGTTTGTATTTTGAATTTTCTCTGTCTTTTTAACTCTCTTGAGGGCGAGAAGTATTTAGTAAATGATCGTATATTGTTAGATAATCTTTAATAAATCGAAAGTGTTTATTATTTAATTTTATATCATAACCAACTAAGTATGTTCTGACAATGTATATTGGAAAGGGAAATGAAAATTTTAACAATCGTGTGTTCATAAATCAGCTGTAAATTATCGGTTCATGTAGACAGTATTACAATCGCAAAGTGAGCTGAGATGATGATAAATGGGATAATTGACAACAACTAAATAATTGTATGTAAGTTTATCTCATCTGATATGTAACTTAAGAGATTCATTGTATTACTGAAAAACTTTCAGTCAAAACAGTGCTTCTTTCTGTCTTTGATTTTGACTGAGTGTCTGCTTTATTTTGATTTTTTTTAAAATTATTGTTTTTGTCATTTGTTTTAATTAATTTAAAACAATACTGAAATTGATATAGGGCTACTATAACTATTTCACATGATGGGTGTGTAATTAGCATCGCGCTACACCCGGGGCTTCCATTTTTGAGGATGGGGCTAGTGGTTTTCTGCACTGAGGAATCCCCTTGGGCTATTAGGAATTTTAAAATACACATGTAATACATGAAAAGCACCACCGGTATTTTCACTCTTTTTTGCTATTAAATTCCCTAATATGGAAATATTCCAGACAGCATGCTCATATTATCCATAAATCTCCACAACTGCATCCATTTTGCAGTACTACAAGACTGATTTACTTAAAAACGATCTTTTATTTCCTAATTTGAATTCCCCCCTTTCCTTTGTTTAATATAGCAATATTTGCTTGTACATATATGCCTCACAGATATCTTATTATTAAATTATATACGTTCACTCAATCAGCTCAATGATAAGTGTCATGCAATTATGTAGCGTTTTTTTAAAGCCATATATGGCGTAACTGATCAAAAAATATATTTTTGAAAAATACAAAATTAAGTAAAGAAATATAGTTAATACATTTAAATTAAAGCTTTTCATACAATTCGGAGCACGGAGAACACCTCGTTTTATCTAATAATACGATTTTATCTTCTCTGTAATGTGTTATTTAAAAATCTCTTGTATTTTCTTCCAAGTCGGAGAAAATTCCGAGAATCCAAATTAAATTTTGATATCTTTATAACGCAATTGACTTAGATTTTGTAATTTACGGAAAATTTCTATCTTTATCATGTTTATATAAAGTAATGATACAAATAATAAGTTCTTATAATTTTAGTCTAATAATTTTCATTGTACATACGCCATATATGGCTTTAAATGATTCAAGATGAAAACAAAATGATTTTTGCTTCGTTTTAATTAGACGAACTAGTGAATGACCAGAAAAGGAATATTTAAAATCTTTTTTTCATTTTTTTAAATCATTAATTTATATATGATTAAATTTTACTAGCGAAAATTAAATTAAACTTTAATTTTAAAAAGAATCATCTGTAGTTAATACCCTGGGGCCCGTTTCATCAAAGGTCGTACGCCCAGTCGTAGCGCTACGCCGGCGTAAAGTCGGGACTAGCACGAATATTTGCATTTCATTAAAGAGCGTATCGTTACGCCTGACTAAATTTAGGCCAAAATTTTACGTCTACTCATGGGTAGGCGTAAGTTAGGGCGTAAAGTTAAAATAAGGCCTTTTTATTAATTTTAGCGAGTTCTAAAGAAAAAGTAAGGTTCTAAGAAGAATTTAAAATGTAAACAATGCATTATTTAATTATACATATTTTGAAGATTTGGGGGTGGGGGTGGGGGTGTTGTTTTAAGTACTTGGGGACGTAGTTGATTTGAGTAATAATGTACTCAAATAATATTTTGATAAATTTCTGCTGAGAAGAAAAGATTGTCTTATTAGAGATTTCTTACGTTTTGACAATGCATTCATACACATTTGATTGTGGTATTGTATGTCTAAGGTATTGTAAATCAATTTACATATATAACTGTATTTCTACACCCCGCTTGAAAAGCGGGACGGTACATGTATATGTACATGTATATACTATTTAGTAATCGGGATGTCCGTCCGTCCATCTGTTACGCTTTGGGGGTACCCATCTCTATCCGCAACTCCTTTCATATCACTGATTGAAATTGGGTGAAATTTTCACAGAATCTTTATTATATATTGCCATTGTGCCTTATTGTACTTTCTGATCCGACACATACAGTGTATTTTGGGTTTCCCACAGCAAAACATGGACACTGCCATTATATTTGTATGGAAGGCGGGGGAATATCTTTTATTGAACTCATTGCTTAGGGTACCTCTAGTTTCTTTTTCATTTACTAAAAAGAGACCCATTAAAACTGTCTATTTTGAAAAATATTTTCCAACAGCATATTTTCTGAAAAAAAAAAATTACAAAAAAAAAAAAAAAAAACAAACAAAAAAAAAAAAAAAAAAAAAAAAAAAAAAAATCGGTTTCAAAAGCATAGTTATCATCTTTCATGTAATTTTCTACATTTAAGAAAAAAAAAAATTCAAAAAAATAACCCATCTTAAAACCAAATAGTTTTTGTCATGTTTGAAGAGTCCATTTCTTATTTACTTCTCGTCCACATGCGTGGATCCAGAGGGGGTCGGAGAGAGGGTTCAGAATCTCCCGAATTTGCAGATTAATTAACATTGAATGTACAGATTACTTAGTTAAGGACGAAAGTAATTATTTTCCTAGGTATCTGGGACAAGTGATGTTCCCGGCGAATCATAGACCCCAACCCAGGGAGGGGGTTGGGGTCTCATAGACAATAAGAGATTTTTGAAAGTGGTAATAAATTATTGCTTTTATAATATCGATGTAAGACGGTGATAATTACACAGTTAAGTTCAAGAATGAATTATTCCTAAATTTTTTTTCTCAGACAAACATTGATGCAGAAGACATCTTTAATTTTCATAATTTTGTTTAAAAGAGCAAATCTTACATAGTATAAGATAATCTGAGCGCATATAAAGCACATATAAGATGAAAATATACATGTTTTTGATTTCCTGCATTACTTACATTTTAATGAAAACAAAATAAAGAGTAGCTGTAACTAAATTTTAAAGACAGAGACCACACAAGCAGAGAATTTTTGTAAGAATATCTTTGTAGTCATTTTTCCAAATCTCTCTCTCTCTCTCTCTCTCTCTGCGTACTTTTAAAACGGTACATCACATTTAATCTGCAGATAGTAAAGAATTTTTTTCTATAACTGAACAATTATGAATCAATTGAATTGACAAAAAAAATAAATATATGAGGAATACAGACCATAAGGTAAACGTGTAAAATTTATTTTTCTCAAAATGTGTTCATATATATTTGAATGTGAATATATTTCCTTTATTTCTTTAAGAAAACCCATTGTTTATCATGCATGACAAAAAATTAATAAAACAAAAAAGACTTGATCATTAATACAATAATTAATTTTTTAATCCTACTTTAAATAATTATTTAAATGTTCATATTGTTATTAGTAAACGTTTGCATATTAAAATTTATTTTTGACTGTGCAATGTTTACATTACCAGTAATAACAAATGTAAAATTTATTTTATTGTTTAAGTAAACCGTTTGCATTTTGTTTTCATTATTTTTGCTTGCATATACCATGTATACATTTCTTATTAAAATTTTTAAATCTTATTCTGTCTCAAACTTAATTATTAGTATTTGTCAGTAGAATCAGTATTTATCGAATCATGAAATTTATTATCAAAGGCGAAGTTATTAACCTGTATCAATTTCGGGAAGAGGGGGTATGGCTGTAATTAAATTTCCAAAATGAATAGTTTTGCTTAATTCCGAAATACAAGTACATGTACTGTCCTTTTCATCCTTTCAATTTATTAGACTTTTATTATTGAAATATTGTAAAAAACTAAAATTGGTTTCTTAAAAGATGCATGTCTCTTACATAACACTATAAACCCATGCATGTTTCAATTAGTGCAAGTATTAATTTATCTATAACTTGTGTTATTCTGTACTTTGACGTGCTACAATTTATACATGTTTGTACGCTTTGGGCAATGTTTATGTTTTTGCGCCTGCGCAATGCAACGTTGTCAAGGACTTAGTCCTGTGACTAAGCGTATCTTTTACGACTAGACTTACGCCACTTGGTGAAACGCAAATTACGCCCGACTAAATTTTGGCGTAATCCCCGGAAGTACGCCTAAGTTAAGGCTTAACTTTACGACTTTTGATGAAACGGGCCCCTGACTTTTTTCACGATGAACTTTTTTTCAATGTTACTTTTTAATTTTTGCCTCTATATTTGGGCTTGTCACTTTTTACTCGGGGATAGTAACTTTATTGCCACAAAGCTGTGGATTAGTACTTGATTTCCTTTATTGCACAGCGATGACTATGATTTAATAGCACAAAAAGCTAATGGGTTTACGTATGTGAATTTATATGATTAATGCTTACTTGTGATTTTAGGATAACTGGAGATAATGATTCCTTTTTTCCATTGATATTACATAAATATTTTCCTAAGTATTATGTTACAATAAATTGGTTTAGATTTTTTTTTATAAAAGTAATCAATAATTACAATGGAAATTAAAACCATAATCATGTTCATTGAGGATTTTCAATATGTAACAGGTCAAACAGGAACTTCAATTGTGAACATTGCAGAGAACACACCCATCAGAAGATGACCCTCAGAAATAGGACAATTGTAAGTAATCAGTAAAATGAACAGGAATACTTCATGCCAACCATAAGATTTTTAGAGACATTTTCGCTTCTTAAATTAGAAGAGATAGAGGGAAAAACTTGTACATACTACATAACTACTAGGCAACCAACCTTTAACTGCAGGAAAGCTTTTGGTATGTGCAATACAGCTACATAAAACCTCTTTAGTATTCATGTTAAGTTTGAGAAAGTACCTTAGTATTTTTTCTAGTGTTTGCCAACATTTTCATGCACACTGTTTGCTTGTTTGTACTATCATTTTATTTTAAATTCTTCAGATGCCCTTTACCTTTGCCAGTTTAGAATCATTTGTTTTAAGGGCATCTGAGGGTTGGTTCCAGAACTTAATTAATTGTAAAGTAAATACTGGGGTACTATACGGTCATAGGTTATGTTAATACATGTATAACATTTTGTTCTGATAGAGGTGGCATACAGGAAAAGAAACAATACTAGATATCACTTCAAAGGAATAAAACAGCTTCATCTTGTAGGTGTATTTTATTTAAGGATCACTACTTCATGTCTGATGTGCTGAAAGTTATTCATAATCTGTTTGACTGTAATTTTTCATATTTTCAACTTCTATCCAGCTTAGTCAATTTTAATTAAATTTTGTGCAAAGCATACCCCAGGAAGGGGGGATGGAGTGTCAAGTGTGTCTCTGTCCCTGTCAATATAATTTCAAAGCAGTTAGTAAGGTTTGGGTCAATTTTAAATCCTCTTTAGCAGAACCATTGGGCTAAAAACAATACTAATGTGAAAGCTTTATCATTAAGTGTAGAGATGTTTTTGAAGATTATGTACCCCTAATGTACTGATAGTGTTACATTAGAAGTCTAAAATTTGCAAGGAATAGGTGTAAAATCTTTTTAAAATCTACTTCTTAACAATCAGAAACTAACATACTGTCTAATTAATATGCAACATCGTTTTGTGTGTTGAATGATGATTCCATTTTGATAAAATTATGGCGGATGGGGGGTAGGATGAAGATGCAGTTAGACATAGAAGAAAAAAAAGAGTTGATAGAATTTAGTTTTTCTTCCATTTTATTTATCAATACATATTTCTGAATAAGAAATATACTTCTACTTCTTGGTTGGGTTTGATCAACATAAAGGGTGATCTTGCTGTAGTCAAGAAAAACATGTTTTATACGGCAAAGAAATGCCTTTATCTAATTGCAGAATGAATAAAATGGACAGAGGCAGAACTGAAGGAGATGCATGAAATGAGGAATATTTCAAAGATTGCCTGAGCATAACCACTGCTACTGGATAAACATATGGCAATATAAAAGAGCAGGGTCAATGGAGGTATCATACAGTATAGGCCATGAGAGACCCTGAAGAAGAAAGTATTGAACAGAAACAAAAATAAAACCATTTTGACATTTATTGAAATATAGGATCAAAGTCTTACATGTAAAATTTGGGCATGTAATGACTTTTCTCTAGCTCTAAGACTTATAACAGTGATGATTTGATTTAATATCTTTATCCCGATTTGTCGAAAAGATTTGGACATAGTGCATCAATTATTTTAAAGTTTTGATACAACGAATTCATTCATTGTACTTGTAACTGAGTTTTCTGGTGCGACACTGTTTTATCGGCTTCAAAACTAAGTTTGTGATTTCCAAACCAGATTAATGAGATCATGTAATATCTTTTAACATCGGTGACTATTTAATCCATTCTTTTACATCTCAGAAGTATTTTTATTATTACAGGGAAAAATGTGTTGTACATGTATCTGTAATAAACAGGATTATAGAAATTTTCCATATAATACAACACAATCTTAGCAACTGAAGGCAAATATTTTATCAAGGGTGTGATCTATTTATCAATATGGTTTTCAGCATCTTGCTCTACCTGTAATGACTTGCTCCAAGTTCCAATATTTAAATTTAAATTTTGCAAACATGGTTATAAAATTCTTTAAAAGCCAAATAGTTTAGGCACAAAATGCTTATATATTTCCTATCATTTGTAAAGTGTACACTGAATGAGATGTGGAATGTTAGAATTAAAGTATTAAATATGTTTTGGACTTATGTATGCTTATGCAGATAAATTTGAATTCAACTAGGGAAGGTAAATGTCATACTTATTGGGTTTGCAATCTAATGCAAGAGTATAAACATCCAAGACAAATTTGACAATTTTAATGAAGGGTATAAGTAACCCAAGAAGAATTGGACAGGTAAACATCACCTGTTGGGTTTTATTCTAATGTTGGAATGTAATATCCAAGAAGAGTTGAACCAATGTCCAATACCTATTGGGTTTTCTTTCTTATGAAAAAAAATTTGAGTAACCCAAGAAGAATGTCCAATACCTTTTAGTTTATATACTATTGAAGGGATGAAGATATCCAAGAGGAATTGGACAGGTGTCCATTACATGTTGGGTAGTATTCTGATGAGGGGATTCTCAAGAAACCCAAGAATTAGACAAGTGTCCATTGCCTGTTGGGTGGGATGTAGATATCCAAGAGGAGTTGGACGGAGGTCCATTACCTGTTGGATGGTATTCTGTTGAAACAATTCAAGAAACCCAAGAAGAATTGGACAAGTGTCCATTAACTGTTGGGTGGGATGTAGATATCCAAGAGGAGTTGGACAGGTGTCCATTACCTGTTGGGTTGTATTTTGATGATGCAATTCAAGAAACCCAAGAATTAGACAAGTGTCCATTGTCTGTTGGGTGGGATGTAGATATCCAAGAGGAGTTGGACAGATGTCCATTACCTGTTGGGTGGTATTCTGATGAAACAATTCAAGAAACCCAAGAAGAATTAGACAAGTGTCCATTACCTGTTGGGTGGGATGTAGATATCCAAGAGGAGTTGGACAGATGTCCATTACCTGTTGGGTGGTATTCTGATGAAACAATTCAAGAAACCCAAGAAGAATTGGACAAGTGTCCATTAACTGTTGGGTGGGATGTAGATATCCAAGAGGAGTTGGACAGGTGTCCATTACCTGTTGGGTTGTATTTTATGAGGAGATTCAAGAAACCCAAGAATTAGACAAGTGTCCATTGCCTGTTGGGTGGGATGTAGATATCCAAGAGGAGTTGGACGGATGTCCATTACCTGTTGAGTGGTATTCTGATGAAACAATTCAAGAAACCCAAGAAGAATTGGACAAGTGTCCATTAACTGTTGGGTGGGATGTAGATATCCAAGAGGAGTTGGACAGGTGTCCATTACCTGTTGGGTTGTATTTTGATGAGGAGATTCAAGAAACCCAAATAGAATTGGACAATGTACACATGTTCAATTGTTCTTGGGTAGTTTAATCCCTTCGTCAAAATACAACCCAACAGGTATAGGACACCTGTCCAATGCCTGTTGGATACCTTCATTCTGTCCAACATGTAATGGGCATTTGCTAATTATTAATTGGTCATGACTCAAAAAGGTTTCTCCTTAAATACTTAATTTTGTTATTCAAGAAAGGTTGAACAGAGTCTGAGATGTGTTGAGTTGTGTTTTTTTTGCACTTAGGTATTCATATATTTTAATATTAGTTATTTTGAAATATACAGGTGTATATCCTTATTGCTAAGAACAAATTAGTTAGGTGTTACAATAAAAGAGCTATATCACAGAAATTGACAAAAATATGGGTTCAAAACCAAAGGTTTTCAGTCTTGTCTGAATTTACCAGCAAATATTAAATATATAATAAATTTGAAATGAATAAAAATCAATAAGAAAAAACCCAATAAAATATGGACACGAGGATTAATATCCAATAAGATTTGAACAGTAACTATCCAAATAATGCTCTCTCGTGTGTACACTTTTTTTGTATCCAATAAGCAGTATCCAATAGGACTTGGACTTGATGTACCCAATATATAACCAAATGTGTGTCCGTCCGTCTGTCTGTCTGTAAACTTTTCACATTTTCGACTTCTTCTCAAGAACCACTGGGCCAATTTCAACCAAACTTGCCACAAAGCATCCTTGGGTGAAGGGGATTCAAGTTTGTTCAAATGAAGGGCCACACCCTCATTCAAGGGGAGATAATTGGGAATTAATGAAAATTTGGTGGCATGTTTTAAAAATCTTCTTCTCAAGAACCACTGTGCCAGGAAAGATGAAACTTATGGGGTAACATCCTCAGGTAGTGTAGATTCAAGTTTGTTCAAATCATGACCCCCGGGGGTAGGGCGGGGCCAAAATGGCCGACCAAAGTTTTACATAGAAATACTAGTATATAGGAAAATTCTTTAAAAATCTTCTTCTCAAGAACCACTGTGCCAGGAAAGATGAAACTTATGGGGTAACATCCTCAGGTAGTGTAGATTGAAGTTTGTTCAAATCATGACCCCCAGGGGTAGGGCGGGGCCAAAATGGCCGACCAAAGTTTTACATAGAAATATATAGGAAAATTCTTTAAAAACCTTCTTCTCAAGAATGACAGAGCCATAATTCATCAAATTTATATGGAAGCATCCTCAGGTAGAGAAGATTCAAATTTGTTCAAATCATGACCCCCGGGGGTAGGGCGGGGCCAAAATGGCCGACCAAAGTTTTACATAGAAATATATAGGAAAATTCTTTAAAAATTTTCTTCTCAAGAATGACAGAGCCATAATTCATCAAATTTATATGGAAGCATCCTCAGGTAGTGAAGATTCAAATTTGTTCAAATCATGACCCCCGGGGGTAGGGCGGGGCCAAAATGGCCGACCAAAGTTTTACATAGAAATATATAGGAAAATTCTTTAAAAATCTTCTTCTCAAGAATGACAGAGCCATAATTCATCAAATTTATATGGAAGCATCCTCAGGTAGTGAAGATTCAAATTTGTTCAAATCATGACCCCCGGGGGTGGGGCGTGGCCAAAATGGCCGACCAAAGTTTTACATAGAAATTAATGGGAAAATTCTTTAAAAATCTTCTTCTCAAGAATGACAGAGCCATAATTCATCAAATTTATATGGAAACATCCTCAGGTAGTGAAGATTCAAATTTGTTCAAATCATGACCCCCGGGGGTAGGGCGGGGCCAAAATGGCCGACCAAAGTTTTACATAGAAATATATAGGAAAATTCTTTAAAAATCTTCTTCTCAAGAATGACAGAGCCATAATTCATCAAATTTATATGGAAGCATCCTCAGGTAGTGAAGATTCAAATTTGTTCAAATCATGACCCCCGGGGGTAGGGCGGGGCCAAAATGGCCGACCAAAGTTTTACATAGAAATTAATGGGAAAATTCTTTAAAAATCTTCTCAAGAATGACAAAGCCATTATTCATCATATTTATATGGAAGCATCTTCAGGTAGTGTAGATTCAAATTTGTTCAAATCATGACCGCAGGGGGTAGGGCGGGGCCAAAATGGCCGACCAAAGTTTTACATAGAAATATATGGGAAAATTCTTTGAAGAAGAGCAAATCCATGATTGATCATGGGATTACTTTTGGATTTTAACTTTTCAATAATAAACCAATTTCTACTTTTTCTAAGCTACAGTACTCAGGTGAGCGATGTGACCCATGGGCCTCTTGTTTGAATATTTTCAGCAAAATCTTGAAGAATAAGTGTTTAGCCATTTGATGCTGCGATTGGCATATGGGCTTTCATGGGAACATACTAAAGACCTGATATTTGACCTGATGAAAAAACATATATCATATAAATTATCAATTTAAACATTACATTTCTTATTTCATGGGCAAATATATCAATGATTGTAGCTAATACTATACCACAATACACTTTTATTGGATAATAAGTAGGTTTTGTTGCTAAGGTATATTCACAAAACTCGATGACCTGATATTTTGAATGACCTGATAACAGACCTGATATTTTCAAGTGAAATAGAATTGCTGCAAATATTGAAATTTAATAAAGTTTAACATTGAAATCTGTTTTATTTTCATTAAAATATATTTAAGGAATCACTGTCTAGTTAGTATAGTATGCCAGGGCATCAACACTAGTTGGAAACATGGGATAATTTGCATAACGGGCGAAGCCCGTTATGCGTAAATTATCCCATGTTTCCCACTAGTGTTGATGTCCCTGGAATACTATATACTAACTAGACAGTGATTCCTTATATTTCCATTTCATTCTGAAATAAAATTGTAGATTTTGGACTTTTAAAAATGTAGGCATAGATTTAAATTATAGAAGGACTCCCATGCCAATTTCAACAGTCCTCGCCCAAACACAAAGGCAGCCGCACGAGATTTACATGCATATTTGGCCTCCTTGGCGTCAGACACAGAGACCGATGCGCACGAGATTTTCATGCATAATAGGCTTCCTTAGCTCCTGACCTATCGACCTGCCTAATTTACATTCCGGTAGAATTATCAAGAAATCAACTCTGCTTACTTTCAAAGAGTTATCACAGAGAACAAAATTATAAATGGAAATATTATAAGAATAAATCAGGACATTTAATTTAAACCCATCACATCATTTAAAAATATCAGGTCTTTAGTAGGAAATCATCAGATCATTTCAAATCATCAGGTCAATTTTTTCTTAAATTTTGGCAAAAAGATTTATCTCAAAACCATTTAAAGTGTTTAGCTTTACTAAAAGAATTAAAATATATACCAAGTCATTCAAATCCTTCCATTGAACGTCTCTTACAAAAATATCAGGTCTTCACTATAGAAATATCAGGTCATTCAAAATATCAGGTCAACAAGTTTTTGTAAGAACACCATGATACAAAGGAAAAATTCTCAGTGTTATCTCACATACTTAGATGTCCATGAAATCTACTTAAAGCATAAAAACCAGCCAAACTATATGAAATGTGTACATCACGAAGTGTACGAAAAATTAAAAGTCGAATTTACAAAGTTAGTTTATTGTACAAAGTAAAGCGCATGAAAAAAGAAATCGATAGATTGAATAAATTTACCAACAAAGACAGATTCTTACTTAAGCAATATATTCGAACTGCCGCATTCTAAACAAGATTCAATAAAAAGTAATAAGAGTAGAGAGGAGACAGACAGCCAGAAATTTGGAAAAGAAGATTTAGCCAAAGAACAGA